ATCATACACAATGGACTAGAGGCTTACTGGATTTTGATAGAATCGGAAATAGCATTGCAGCAAATAATGAATTCATCAAAAGGAGCAAAAAAGGCGAGTCGCGAGTGAAGCTAACATATCCAACAAAGAGGCAAAAGGGCAAGTGAAGCTAACATATTCAAAGGCATTAATATAGATCCAACAATTAAACATATTTAAATCATTTTACTTATGAATTTTGAATAACATACCTGTTTGCACATGATATTCGCATAAAAAATGTGTGGAATGCTTCTATGTCCATGATTATGTTTGATCATTCTCGGTATTTTGTACAGAAACAAATATGTTACTATAAACAAAAAATTTCTACTGGCTGAATATTTGTTTTATATCTTTAAATTTCAATGTATGTGAATCTACTGAAGGTATGTATAGATTGATTTATCGCTTTTCTACCTTAAACAATGATACTCATACAAACATAGCATAACAATTTTAAAATGGAATAAAAAAAATTTAAAAGACGTCGATATAAGAGACCCGAAACTCAGCAGTTTCAGTACAATAATAGTAAGAAATTTTTTAAAACAAACGTAGAAAGAGCTTAATTTTTCAAACAGAAACCTAAAGAAAGAGCTTAACTTTTTTGTTGGGCCTACTTTGAATGCGTTATGTGTTGGACTCAGATGCACAAATGCGGAAGATGTAAATTAAAATATTAAAGTAAAATGGTGAATAATAATCTCAATTCCAGCAACTCAAGAATGACAAAACTAAATCTCTTGCAATGAAACAAGAACAATTCTTTTCTGATGTGGAAGATCAGATTAGACTGCAACCACAGAGCATACTAAGAATATCCCATATAAATAAAATATGCAAGAAATAAGACACCAAGATTTAACGTAGAAAACCTCCAAATAGAAGAAAAAACCACCGGACAACCTCCGAACAATTTCACCATATTTTCAAAATAATTACAATATCTTTTCACACTCCCTTAAACTAGAAATGTAGAATATAGTGACCCAGTGAAACCCCACTCCTAAACAAGGAGTAATAGAGTTGATACCCAACCCGGTGTATTTTTCCCACACTCACAAGATTTACTCAAACATTCTATTTTTATCTCACTGAACAATAACACTCAAAGATGTTATTTCTTCTTTCTTTTTCTTTCTTCTGCTTGGTGCATTTCCTTCAGCTGAATACCCCTCTATTTATAGGGGTGATGATCATGTGAACAGAAAAAAAAAAAATCTCGGCTAGTTCTTTCTTTCCTTTTTCTCTTCAATAATGTGGCACAATAACCAAGACTTTTTTGTTTTCTCTCATTTTTTTTTTTATTTAATCTTATTGTGGTTTTGTTTGTTTGTGGTTGGACACCACATGCCAATTTGGCTGGATATGACAATTCTCCCCCTCCAGCCAAAGAGAAATATTCTGCAAATCTTCACATGCAGTCCATGCCGATCAACTCGGCACAAAGTTGAAGCTTTCCACCTGTTACAACTTTCATCATGTCAGCAGGGTTCTTGTTAGTGTGAATCTTTTCCAACCTGAATTGTTGTTCTTTCACTACTTGACGTAGCCAATGATATCTGACATCAATGTGCTTCGTGGGAGAGTGGTACATCGCATTCTTACTTAAATCCAATGCGCTCTGACTATCGCAATGGATATCGTACCTTTCCTGCTTCATTCCCAATTGTTGAAGAAACCTCTTCAGCCAAAGCATTTCTTTGTCTGCTTCTGCCATTGCAATATACTCTGCTTCAGTAGTCGACAAGGCAACAGATTTCTGCAATTTAG